CCCCAAAACCCCAAAACCCCAAAACCCCAAAACCCCATATGAGGCACTTTGTAATTGTATTCTATTCTTAGGCTAATAAAATAATTGCAGAATTACCTTAATACATATACATAACTTTAAACGGGAATTTAGCAACCATGATTATAGTCTATCGGTTAGTTTTAATCATTAATGCCAATGGGTAAAGCTCTTTTTTATAAATTAAAGCTTCATGCTAATTTATGCAATAGCTTCATTGATACATTTAGTTTTGTTTATAAAAGGCATATGGCATTTTACTGATATTCTAATGGCTTTGGCTTTAATTAAGAACACCAGGAACTATTAGTTACTATGATTGTGATTGCTAATTAGAGTTATTGAAACTTCCGAGATTGCTATTATATACAGCCTGTTTTTTTAGTACATCAAATGCCGATTATTACTATGATTAGAAGGGTGACAATTACTTGCTTGAGAACATCAAATTATGATTCTGCTAGCTTAGAATGTTATTTATATTGGAGTGATTATTAGGGTTATTGCTTGCACTTCTTTGTTATTGCTGCTAAATTCTGCTGAATTCATTTAGAAATGAGGGATTAGATTAATTTCCTCCAAGTTAAGAAGCAGCAATGTTAAACACATCCATTCGTTCATCTTCGTTATTAAACTTTATTTCTTCATCCTCATCGAGATACAACTCATCTTGATAGTTCTCCATTGAAGACTATTTCACATTTTCTTAAGTAGTCATTCTTTACTACAAGTTGCCTGGGATTGCCATATATTGGTTTCTGCTTTGATACTTTTAATTTATTTTTGCCTGCTATTGCTGCTAAATCTACTGCTCCTGTTTCTATCTTAAAACTATTTGTTCATTCTTCTTTTTCTAGATCATCCAATCAAAAATGTAGTCATACTCATAACCCATTCTGTAAAATAGGTCCTTAAACAACTTTCTTAAATAAGAATAGTCAGGTCTATCCTCAAATTACAATGATCGACAGTAATTCATGTATAGAGCAAATTCAACGGGCAGGCCTGAGCAAAGCTCTTCAATAGGAGTTTCTTGCTTTTTATCTCTAATCTAATCATATTTTTCCTTCTTTGACTTAGCTCTGATTCCTTGCCAAGGAAGGCCGCCCATTAGAAAGTAGAGCATAACAAAACCCAAACATTCTAAATCATCTCTTCGAGACTATTCAACACCTAAGTGAGTATTCAAAGAGGCATATCGAGCTGTTCCTGTTAAGTTTTTATTGTCGCGATATTATATATGCTCTCCAGTTTTTGGATCCCTATATCTTTTTGCCAAGCCGAAATCTATGATGTAAACATAATGCTAGCGTTTACCAACTCCAATCAAGAAATTATCAGGCTTTATATCTCTGTGCAGAAATAGCCTAGAATGAATATATTCTATGCGCTAGATCATCTGATCTGCTAACATTAGCACTGTCTTAAGGGTGAATTTTCTTTGGCAATATGAGAATAAATCTTCAAGAGATGGACCTAATAGATCCATTACCATAACACTGTATTCACCCTCTACTCCGAACCAATGAACCTTTGGAATACCAACTCCATCATGCAATAACTTGTAAAGTTTAGTTTCATAGAGTAACTAAGGATGCTTAGATTTCACTGGTTCTAGCTTTATGGCAGTCTCTTCATTAGTTGTTGAATCGATAGCTATTTTAAAAGTTAAAATTTAATATTAATTACCTAAGTAGACCTCTCCGAAAGCTCCACTACCTAGTTTTCTTGTGAGACTGTACTTTCCCCCAACTTTTAGTTCCATTATACAATTTGCTGAAATTAATTTTAATTACTTCTTAAAACATCTAAAAAAGAAAATTTCTCATTTGCTAGAGCTTGCGGGGTTTTGGGGTTTTGGGGTTTTGGGG